TTTATATCATAAAGCCTACTTGGAAAAGGAATTAGAGTGTATTCCAGAATGCTATTACCTTAAGGATAAAATCTTAAGGTGAAAACGGAGACCTTGGCAGGTTACTGCAGAGGAGAAATGGGTGGAAGTTTGCCAGATTATGTTACCAGTAGCATACAGACAGGAAGTATTGCGGGTAACACACAAATTACCTGTAGGAGGTCATCTAGGAGTGAGGAAGACTAAGGTTAAGATACAGAAGCATTTTTATTGACCTGGCTTGCAAAGTTGTGGTTGAATTTTGCCGTACCTATCACAAGTATCAGATGGTAGGAAAGCCATAGGCAGTAATAAAACCAGCACCTTTGATGCCAATTCCCGTATTTGAAGAACCTTTCATGGGGATTGTAATTGATTGTGTAGGACCCCTCCCTTAAAACCTAAAGTGGGAACTATAATGGGTGTGTCTACCAGAATTCCTGAGGCAATTCCATTATGGAATGCCAAGGCAAAAACAGTTGTTTAGGAGTTGCTTGTTTTCTTTACCTGTTATGGATTACCCAGGGAGATTCAGTCAGACTAAGGGTTCAATTTTACTGCCAAATTATTTAATGAGGTCATGAATAGTTTAGGCATCAAACACTTTAAATCAAGTGCATACCGTCCTGAATCCCAGGGAGCATTGGACAGGTGGCATCAGTACCTAAAGACAATGGTGAGGGCTTATTGCCAGGATTATCCAAATGATTGGGATAAAGGTATCCCATTTATATTGTTTGCTATTAGAGATGTTCCAAATGAATCAATTCAGTTTACTCCATTTGAATTGATATTCAGACATGAAGTGAAAGGGCCTTTAAAATTATTTAAGGAAATGGTGATAGGTCCAAAGTCAGAGATCTCACAGTTGGATTATGTATCTGAGGTGACAGAATGATTAAACAGAGTAGGTGGATTAGCTAGGCAATATTTGAAGGTGGCACAGTACCGAATGAAGCAAGAAGCAGATAAGAAATCTAAAATTCATACGTCTGCCCATGGGAATAAAGTATTGGTGCTGTTACCAGTGGTAGGAGATCCCTTCAAAGAAAGGTTTAGTGCTCCTTATCAGATTGAGAGCAAATTAAATCAGGTGAATTATCTTGTAAAGATGCCAGATAGGAAAAAAAATTTATCAAGTATATCATGTGAACATGCTGAAACATTACTATGACAGGGAAAAGGAACCAGAGAAACAGGTATTAGTTACTGTCACTCAGAGTGACGAATCAAATCCAGATGATTTGGATTTTGATGTGCCTCAGAATAAATTGAATAACGAGGAAGTCCTTAAGGAATGGGATAGAGTAGTGACCTATTTGTCCCAAGGAACAGAGAACTGTATTGAAAGACTTGTTACAGTGCTACGAGGACCTATGTAGAAATAGAATGGGGAGCACCAACACAATAGTATATGAGGTTGTTGTAGGGAATGCTGCTCCAATAAAACAACACTCCTACAGGTTTAATCCTCTCAAAGCAGTGCAAGTTTAGAAGGAAGTGGAAGTGATGCTCCAAGAAGACATCATAGAGATAAGTCAAAGCAAGTGGAGTTCACCGATCATGTTGGCTCCCAAACCTGATGGCGCTCAATGATTCTGCGTAGCTTATTGGAAGGTCACACCATGACCAATTCTGACCCATACCCAATTCCAAGGCTGCTGGAGTGTGTGGAAAAAGCAGAACAAGCCACTTACATTACAAAGTTGGTCTTACTTTGCAGTTACTGGTAAGTACCTTAGGCGGAGAGCGCAAAAAAAGTTTCTGCTTTTGTAACCCCAAATGGGCTGTACAAATTTAAGGTAATGGCCTTTGGAAAGTAAAACACAGCAGCCACTTTTCAAAGGCTTATGAACAGAGTTGTGGCAGGATTGACTAATTGTGCCGTCTACATAGATGACTTAGTGATCTTTAGTCATTTGTGGGAAGATCACATGGAGCATTTGACAGAGCTGCTTGAGAGACTACGGAAGGCAAAGTTGGTCATAAACTTGGCAAAAACACAATTTGCGAAGGCAGAAGTGACATGCTTAGGGCACAACATTGGATATGGATGGATGACACAGAGAAACATGAAGACAAAGGACATTGAGCAATTTCCAAGACCATCCTCAAAGAAGGAAGCACTACAATTTTTAGGATCAAGTGGATTCCACAGGAAATTTGTACCAAACTTTAGTAGCGTAGTAGCACCATTGACAGATTTGTTAAAAAAGAACACGAAATTTCGGTGGACAGAACAATGCCAGGAGGTATTTGAGAATTTAAAAGCAGTGTTAACTACTGCACCAGTTTTAGCCATGCCAAAGTTTATGAAACCCTTCAAAGTCGCCATCAACCCAAGCCAAATCGGTTTTGGAGCTGTGTTGTTATAGAAGGATGGTTGTGGAATTGAAAAGCCAATCAATTATTTTTCAAAAATCTCAGTATCCACCAGAAAAAAAAAATTCAACCATTGAAAAAGAGTTATTGAGTTTGGTAATGGCCTTACAACATTTTAATGCTGACATGGCAAACAATGCATCAGAGATGATTGTGTATACCGATCACAATCCTTTGACATTTCTTGAAAGATTTAGGACAAGAACACCAGATTATTTCATTGGATACTCATATTACAAGCATTTAATTTATAGATTGTACATGTTGCAGGCCATGAAAGTATTATTGTGGATGCTTTATCGCAAGTTTAAAAGAAAAATGTTTATATAAGATAGAAACAGTAGTGTTCAATGTTTTATATATATAAATAGAATTAATATAAAATGTGTAACTCTAGATTAATGAGCTATGGATCTAGTGATATAATGGAGTTAAACTTTTAAAAGAGAAAAAATAAAGTTATCTTATCATAATGATGGTTCATTTTTTTCTTAAGGGGGGAGGTGTTGCGAAGTGGGGTGGAGTACTTGTGGATTGGGGGGGCAGGAAGCTAGAACTTGGTGTTTGTAAAATGCTGGGGGGAGAACATTGTGTGGTCCCTTTAAAAGATAATGCATTTTTTCTGTGCTTAGAGATTTAAAATGGATGTCTGTGAACAGTAGCATGAAAGTTTGCTAGTACACAGAGAGCACCCAAATTGAAATTGAAACATTTGTATCGAAAGGCTGTACAGTTAGAAGGCCAAGGAGCAGTTTTTACCAAGACAACAAGCTTTTGAATTTAGCCCATCAATTTGAACCAGGCACTTACATACCAAAAACCAATTATATCTGAAACTGAATCAGAGATAGTAGGGAACCCCCTTCCCCTCCCCCTTTTCTGATGAAGGGTCTAGGCCCGAAACGTCAGCCTCTCTGCTCCTATGATGCTGCTTGGCCTGCTGTGTTCATCCAGCCCTGCACCTTGTTGTCTCTATATCTAAAACTGATGGTTTTGACAACATCGGACCAATCCCATTGTAAGAAATATTGATATGCCATCAAGGGTATAAAAAAGGGGGCAGTTGGACAAAGCCCCAGAGCTAGCTGCCATCTGCAAAAGCTAATGGCTCTCAGCTCTCTCTCAAGAGAATCACTGGCTCTCACAGCCTCCTCTATATCTTAGAGAAAGCACTATTTAAATGGTACCAACGGCAGAACAAGTTAATATTCCTGACAGAAGAATCAACGGAGAAGGCATTCCTGAGTGAAGGATTGACAGAGAAGGCACAGAATATTCCGGAAGACACATAACCTGGCTGTAATATTGAGAGACTAAATTCTATTTTTTTTTAATGTAAGTGGGACTTAAAGCATACCATTAGAACCTTGCTTTATTCGGGAATAGTTGGGTGTTAGAAGGGATTTATTCGGTTTGTTAACAGTTTAGTTAATTTGTTCATTGTTAGAATTAGATAAATAAGTTGTTAATTGTTGATTTTAAAGCGAATGTCAGGGGTTTATTTTATTTAACCAATAGAAGTTGCTGAAAGGCAGGTTACACCACTTTTTACACTCCTTTTACAGATTATGGGGCGAGGTACTCCTCTTTGGATGTTTTGGTTTTAGTTCTCAGATTTGGGGTGGAGGGGGGGTGGGGGGGGTGGTGGTGGTCAACCTCTGCTTTATAACAAAGTGCAGGTTCAATTTGCCATAATGATAACGGGATTAAATGGAGATGGACTGATTGTATAGACTAGCATACTTTAAGTTGGGTGTAATTGAGATATTTAAGATGATTAAATGATTCATTAGGGATGATAGCGAGAAACTGACTACTCTGGTAGGTGACCAGAGCTTAGAACTAAGGTGCGGAACCTTCAAATTCATGCCAGGTTATTTAGGGGTGATGCCAGGGGACACTTAACCATACAGTGGGAGAGTGGAAATCTGAATCTCTCTTCCAAAAAGCTGTTGAGGTGGCGGTAAGGCACAGGGGTTGATTTTTAATAGTTACACATATTAAGTGTAATGAAAAAAAGTAAATTAAATATAGAGTTAACATACATTCCTTCTCCCTGTGTCTGTGTGGGTTTCCACCGGGTGCTCTGGTTTCCTCTCACAGTACAAAGGTGTGCAGGTTAGGTGGATTGGCTATGGGAAATGCGAAGTAGGTTGGGTCTATGTGGGATGCTCTTCGGATGGTCAGTGCGGACTCGATGGACCGAATGGCCTCTTTCTCCACTGTAGGGATTCTATACAGGCCAGCCGCAATCCCAACTGAATGCATCCTTAGGAGCTGAATGGCCTCTCCTGTTCCTGAATATGGTTCTGTCAAAGACTGTGATTGAGACCAAAATGTACAAAACTGCTGTAAATGCCTCTGAAGGGAAACCATCACTAATAGCTAGGCATCACCAGCAAGGTCCTGCTTTCCTGCCAGGTAAAGACCAAGAGACACTGTCCATAAAGGACAGTACACTGACAGAGAAAGAATTGCAAGGAACAGAAATACTTAAAAGCTTCAACTTGAACTATTTCGAAAGCCAGCTGAAGAATCCATTATTGAATTTCAGATATTCTGTGAGCTTTTGTTGTCTCAGTAAAGTTGTCAAATCTCACCTGCATATCTGCTCGGTTAATAAATCCTTTTTCTTCTCGGTCACAGATCTGGAAGAATTCCCGGGATTTTTCCAGCAGAGCCAAATGTCCATGGTTATGCATCTCGGTGCTTTTACAGTCAGACATCACCAAATCTCTCTGTGCTGATAAACGACTGTCCCCCTCCCTTTGGTCTTTATTTGCCATCTCTGCCAAGGGTGCTTTTTCCAAAGCTTCCACAGTTTGGTTCCAATAGTTACAGGCTACATCAAGCTCTTTCTAGTCTTGGATACTCCACCAAGCAATGGCTTCTTTCTTTCAACTGTAGTGCCTGGGCAAGGGGAAAGAATAAATTTTTTTAGAAAACTTTTATTTTATCAATAAATTGGACTTTAGTACGAACTAAATATTGAAGAGCAGCAAACAAACACAAAATGGTTCTTTACTGAGTTGACTACTTCCATTACCAAACACTTGGAAGCTGAAGATTTAGCAGCGCAATGCAAAGGTGATCAATATCGTACAGTAAAGTTTTAGAAATACCTGCTCAACTTACTAACCTGTTACACTTTTTAACTATTTGCAGATGAGAGAATAGCCAAAAGAACAAAAAAAATTATATTTTAATATTCTCAACATGTCAAGGGGATGGAGCAATGTTAATCAATGACATTAGGCATAAAATTTTCCAACTATTCAAATCAAATACAATGGAAAATGACTTTATTGTTTAGAAGCCTGGCCTTTCTCAAGTGGCGCCAGACATAGCTCAGGGCTTAATAATCTCTTGCTCTGAATTAGAAGGTCAGTTTTCCTTCATTCTAGAGGTTTAAGAACAAAATCCAGCCTGATGCCGCAGAGAGCTACACCATTAGAGGTGCTGTGGTTTAGAACATAGGACTTGGGAGCAGGAATAGGCTACGTGGCCCTTCAAGCCTGCTCTGATATTCCATAAGCTCATGGATGAACTGGTTGTGGAATCAACTGCACTTCTTGTGTATCCCACCCAAAATAGTTGACTCCTTTGTCTATCAAAAATCTCTCTAACTCAGCCTTGAATTAATTTAATGACCATGTCTTGCGTGCTTTCAGTGCAAAAGAATTTCATACTCTAACAACTCCAAAAGAAAAGAAATTCTCATCTCCATCTAAAAGCAAGACATCTGATTCTTAAATTATGACTTTGTGATAGAAACAGAAAAAAGGGGACAACAGTAGGCTATTCATCTCTTTGAGCCTAGTTTCCCCATTCAACATGAGTACAGCTGATCATCCAAATCAATATTCCATTCCCACTTACTCTCCATACCCTTTCATCTCTTTAGCCCTAAGACCTATATCTAACTTCTTCTTGAACACTTCCAATGTTTTGGCCTCAACCTCTTTGTCTGTGAAATGAGGCCATTAAACCATAAGCCCATTTGGCCTCTCATGAAGATGTGGAATGCTTTCCTGGCAGGAGAAGCAGAAAAATTCTTCCTCCTTTGTGTCAATTGATCCAGATGATCTAGTCATGATCAATAGTGATCATGATCATGCGACAGCCTGCTGGAATGGGTTTTCTTTGTGACAATTGTGACAATAGTCAGAAAGGGCGCCCTCCCTGTGGAGAGTTTGGTGGTGGAAGGGGCATTTAATCATGCAGGAAGGGGACACGCCCCCACCACAGTTGAGTGGGTGGTTACCTGAGGGGTGCTGCTGTCCAACAGAGCTGTGGGACACTGGTGGGCCACAGCTCTCAGTGAGTAGAACTTTCACTCCTGAGCCCTGGATTCTGGGAAAGGCCCACCCGCAGCCCCTCAAATGCCTGTGTGGAACGATGTTGTGACCCTTCCTGAGAAGAAGTGATGTGGGCTCTCCAGCTGACGCATGCCTCACCTGGTCGTGGCCTAACTGGCTGTGTTTCAAAACCCACAACCTCTTGTTTTATTCATTCAGAGGAGGTGGGCATCGCTGGCAAGGCCAGTGTTTGTTGCCCATCCCTAAATACCCAGAGGGCAGCCAACCAGATTGCAGTGTGGTCTGGAGTCACATGTAGGCCAGAGGAGGTCAGGACAGCAGTTTTCTTCCCTAAAGGACATTAGTGAACCACATGGGCTTTCCCTGACAATCGACAATGGCTTCGCAGCCATCATTAGACTCTTAATTCCAGATCTTTTAAATTGAATTCAAATGCCACCATCTACCATGGCATGATTCAAACCCGAGTCCTCAGAACATTACTGGGGTTTTTGGATTTATAGTCTAGTGATAATACCACTAGGCCTACCCTCTAGTCCAATAACCTTTGATTTCACTGTCTAACAAGAGTCTACCTACCATTGCCTTAAAAATATTTAACAACCAACTTGAGGGTGAGAATTCCAACGTCACACAACCTTCTGAGAGAAAAAAAATTCTCCTCATCTTTGACCAAAAAGAGCAACCCTGAATTGTAAAACTGTGTTCCCCTTTGTTCTGGGCTCACCTGCAAGAGGATACATCCTTTCCACCTGCGCCTTGCCAAGATTACTCAAGATCCTTACGTACTTCAATCAAATCACCCTCACTCTTCTAAACTCCAGAGAAAACAATCCCAGCCTGTCCAAGCCCTCCTCGTAAGACAACCCGCTCATTCCAGGTATCAAACTAGTGTGTAAAAGTACATATTTCCACAGCAACTCAGCCTCTCTGTGTGAACTGAACCAATGTCAAGTCTATGGAGAAAGTCAAGAAGAGATTCCCTGAGGTGATGCTTAGAATCACCAGGTTTTCTTAATAAGAATGATAACAGGTAGTAAAGGGACAAAACAAGAATGAAGATCAGAGATATGATAGAGGTGTCCAATACTGAGAAGGAAAATCAGGAGGAAACAATTTCTGCTGTTTGGTGAGTTAGCAACCAGAAGTGTACACTAACAGCCATTAAAATCAGAGAAGTAAGAGCATGAGATGACTTACCTTGAAGGAAAAACAATCCACGCTAGCTTCTAAAAGGGATGAGAAAATAAATTTAGTGAAAGAACCTAAGATATGGGAGATGCTTTCTGAGAAAACAAGAACAAACATAATGTCTGAATGTTTCGGAAAATTCTGTGACTTTATGCATACCATCAGATGTCGTGTACATTCGCTAGGCTAATGTAGCTCAAGCAACACTCTTAAAAGGAACAGAAAAATCCAATTTTATCTGCCCTAATTGGTGCCATTTTTGTTCACATGATTAGGAAGAGAAATCAGATATCATTCCTCTAGCATCAGGTTTTCAGTTTATGATACCTGAGGCTCTTGCGGTAAAAGAGCATTTTAATGTAACATTATTGTTCTGTTTGCTCTGATATTAAAACAAATTTCAGGGAGATAAAACTATATCCTGCTTGTTCTTTCTGCATTATGCCTGTTGGAATAGTATTCTGCAAATGAGTTAGTCACGAATTCATTGTAATCCCACCTAATTCTTTCTAACAGGGTAAACATTTGCACAATGCAAGCATATACAAGTGGATTACTGGAAAGGGCACACTGTCACCAAGGTAACACAAGTTCCTGCTTTCCAAACCTGACCAGCCGGTGGAGTTTCTAACAGATGGTCTGAACTTAGAACCGCGGTGTTCCTCCCTAAACTAACAAAACCCTGCCCATTGCTGAATTATCGCCAATGTTTAAATCAATTTAAAAAAACACAAAAGCAAAGCAGTAGATTTTTATTTTTTATTTATTCACAGGATGTGTGTCTCTGGCTGGTTTTGTGTATGGGTGTCAGGATCTGAATAGGTTAATGCTGAGGAGTGCCCCAATGATGATGTCAGACAACGTGGTGGGAGAAAAGCTTACGATCTCAAAGGGGCTGAGACTTACCACACACGTCTTCCTCATGGTCTCTTTAACAATGTCTATCACATCGGGGCTAACTCATACCTAGTTACTGTAGGCAATAAACCACATCATATTTAACTCAGGAACCTCTTCTCATTACACTAAGTGGCTTTCCTCTTTCACACTAGACCCCGTAGACCTACTAAAACCAGGGATTTGAGGATAAACATTTTCACCCATACAATGGTGGGGGATCCAGAATGCTTCCCTGGGAGGGTAGTTGAGGTGGGTAACCTCACAACCCTTAAAAAATACTTGGATGAACAAAGCACTCAAAGCTATGGGCCTAGTGTGGGGAAGGTGGGACTAGTATCGGTAGCAGCGTACTTTTGGCAGTACAGACTTGAAGGGCCTCTTTTGTAGTGTATGATTCTATGCTTCTGTAACCCTGACCAGGAAAGTGGATGGTGTCAGCAAATCTACCAGATGGCTTATACAACACAGTGAGCAGTGGCGGGCATTTATCTTACAAGACGGTGACAAGCAACTTGGACTCCATTTAGCTGCCTCCTACATAATAGCACTGGCAGAGGTCTGAAGATTTCATTCTAGAACCCCATTTGAGAAGGGAACCAAGTGGCAGGACTCAACAAGGCAGAATCAACAGAAGGATCTCAGAACTGGTCAGTAAAAAGAGGGAGCGAGCATGTCAATGGAGCTGGAACACTAGTCACAACATGGTGTCATGGTGTAGCAAACTTTGTTTGAACTGGTCCCTTATGAATCGGCACTTTTGTTAAACTGGCAAAAATTATTTACCTCAAATACCGCAAAGTTTATTCTGTCCGATTATTACAGGCTTGTTCATTTATTTACCTCAATGTAAATATGCTTGTTTTTCAAACAATTGCCCCCAAGAAATATCAACAGTTGATTCCATTTCGAGTCAGTTTCTCCTCAAATTCCACGATCTACCATGACATCCGAGAAGTCATTTGAAGGTGTGAGTGAGCGGCTCTCTGTTTTATTTAAGGCAAAGTTGCTTTATTATTTGAGTGATTTACACTGTCAGTAACATATAACAGTGATGTGTATACCCCCTGTCTTATATTTCTATGACTTAGTGTATGTTTTTTACATTGTTTATATGGACCTTTTGATTACCCGGAACATTTGATCAATCAGCACATTCCTGGTCCCATTGGTGCCGGATAATAAAAAGTTTGTTGTACTTACCCTTCACAGTGGGTGATTTATAGGAGCAATCATAGAGTCATACGGCACAGAAACAGACCCTTTGGTCCAACCAGTCCACGCTGACCATGTTCCCAATTAAACTAGTCCCACTTGCCTGTGTTTGGCCCATATACCCCCCAAACCTTTCCTGTTCATGTACTTATCCAAATGTCTTTTAAACATTGTAACTGTACCTGCATTCACCACTTCCTCAGGAAGTTCATTCCACATGCTCTATGTAAAAAAGTTGCCCCTCATATCCTTTTTAAAATGTTCTCCTCTCATCTCAAAAATATGCCCTAGTTTTTCTTGAGTTGGGAAATGTCGTGAAACCAGAATTAGAGATAAGGTGGCAATTGAGATGTCTAATAGAAGGAAGTCTAATAGAAGAAAGGACTATTGACTTTGTAGTAAGGCAGGAGATGTTTGACATAAATCATGGTGAAGGTGGAAAACATTTATATAAATTGGCTTCAAAGAATAAACAATGTTAAAACAAAATGATTTTAATTTGGCCAACAATAAATAGGAACTACCTGTACATAAAATGATAAATAAATACGTAAAATAATTAGGTAGTCAATTAATAAATGAGAAGGATGGCAGGACAGGAGATGTATCACAGTTACAGCATGTGTGTGGGAGCTCCTGGATGCCAATGTGACTCAAGGCAAACATATCTATGACAAGTGTTTGCGGTGAGAGTAACTTCAGCTCAGAGTTTATGAGCTGGTGGCCAAGCTGCAAACACTGTGGCATGTCAGACTGGGGACAGTTACCTGAATGCCTTGTACCAGGAGACAGTCTTGCTCCTTACAATTGGGTCTTCTGAAACAGATTGTAGTGAGGGACAGATCAGGTGAGTATGACTGCAAGTGAGGGAGATAAGGGAACCCTGGCAGAGAAGAATCAGCTTTTGTAATTGTCCAACAGGCTTCAGGTTCTCTCAACTTGTCTGGATGAGACTTTGGTCTGCAGAGTGAATGAATTAATTGACTATGACACTATGATGCAGGAAAGCATTCAAGTGAAGGAAGCATAAAGGAATATAGTGGTAGTATAATGAGGGGGATTAAAACCAGACTCTGTAGCAAACATCTAATAGGTTGCTTGTCCAGTGCCAAGGTTAAGGACATCTGCTCAGGGCTGGAGATGATCTTGCATTAGGATGTGGAAAAATCCAATTAGCATGAACAATGTAGGCGCCAAGGACATAGGTAAAACAAGCAAAAAAGATGTGCACAGTCAGCATAAGGAGCTGGGCATCAAACTAAAGGGTGATAATCTCTAGATTATTATCTGAGGCATGAAGCATAGGGAAAATCATATTACAGAGTTGACGGAATAGCTCAAAGACTGGTGTGGGAGAAGTGGGTTCCTGTTCACGAATGACTAGTACCAGTACTGTGGAAAGTGGGATCTGTACTGGTTTGCACCTGAACTGTGCTGGTACCAGCTCCTGAGTAGAGAAAGAAAGAAGACTTTAATCTAAATCATGGTAACCAGGGAGCAAATTTGGAAAGATGTGGCAAGAGCAGAGACAAGACAAGAGAGAATGGTATTAATACTGAAAATAATAAACAGACTGCAACAGTAAGTGATAGAGATTGTATATCTAAGAGTAAGTCAGCACATAAGACTAAAATTAACAAAAATAATACAGGTATAAAACATAAGGCTCTGTATCTGAATGCCAGAAGTATTCAGAAGAAAACAGATGAACTGAGAATGCAAATAGAAATAAGTTAAATACAATTTGACAGGCATGACAGAGATACAGCTGCAGGGTCACATAGATTGGGACCTGAATATTAAAAGGTACTGAGCATTTAGGAAGGACAAGAAAATAGGAAAAGATGGAGGTTAACTAATGATGGTACAAGCACAATAGAAAGGGTTGGCCAGGGTGGTTAGGGTCAAGATGAGAAACAATTAAACCAAGAAGTCACTTATGAGTGCTGTTCCAATCCCCTAGCCATATACTAGAATGAAGCATAACAAAGAAATAGCAAGAGTTTGTCAGAAAGGTACAGCAGTAATCATGGGGATTACATATATAGACTGTCAGATGAATAAGAATAGTCTAGGAGTTCATGAAATGTTTACCGGATAATTCATCCCCAGGAACTGATCAAATGTATCCCAGGATATTGTGGGAGGCTAGGGAAGAAATTGCAGGGCGCCTAGTGGAGAAATTTTATTATTTCCAGCCATGGGTGAGGTGCCAGAAGACTGGAGGGTGGCTAATGTTGTGCCATTATTTAAGAAAAGCTGCAAGGAAAAGCCAAGGAACTACAGACCGGTGAGCCTAACGTTAGTGATGGGAAACTTGTTGGAGGTGATTCCCAGAGAAAGGATCTACTTGTAATTGGAAAGCCAAGGACTGATTTGGGATATCGTGTCTTACAAGTTTGATTAGGTTCGTTTGAAGAGGTGACTAAGAAGATAGATGAAGGCAGGGTGTTGGACGTTGCCTTTAGCAAGGCCTTCGACAAGGTTCCGCACAGTGGACTGGTTAGTAAGGTTAGACTCTATGGGATCCAGGGAGAGCTAGCCAATTGGATACAAAATTGGCTTGACGGTAGGAGAGAGTAAGTGGAGGTAAAGGGTTGTTGTTTACACTGGAGGCCTGTGATCAGCAGTGTGCCACAAGGATCACTGCTGGGTCCACAGATGTTTGTCATCTACGTAAACAATTTGGATGAGAACATAGGAGACATGGCTAGTAAGTTTGTAGATTACACCAAAATTGGTGGTATGGTGGACAGTGAAGAAGGTTATCTAAGAGTATAATGGGATTTTGATCAACTGGGCCAGTGGACCAAGGAATGGTAGATGGAGTTTAATATAGATAAATGCGAGGTGTTGCATTTTGGTATGACAAACCAGAGCCCTGGGGACTGCTGATGAGTAAAGAAACCTAGATGTGCAGATACATAGTTTCTTGAAAATTGCATCACAGGTAAACAGGGTGGGGAAGAAGGCATTTGGCATGTTTGTCTTCATCGGTCAGAGCATTGAGTATAGGAGTTGGAACGTTATGCTGCAGCTGTACAAGGCCACACTTGAAGTACTGCATGCAGTTCTGGTCACTCTGCTATAGGAAGGATGTTATTAAACTGGAAAGGGTGCAAAAAATATTTACCAGGATGTTACTGAGACTGAAAGGTTTGAGTTATAAGGAGGGGCCGAATAGGCTGGGATTTTTCTCCCTGGAGCATTGGAGGCTGAGAGGTGGCCTTATAGAGATTTATAAAATCATAAGGGCCATAGATAAAGTGAACAGCAAGGTTCTTTTCTCCTGGGTAGGGGAGTCCAAAACTAGAGGCCATAGGTTTAAGGTGAGAGTGGAAAAATTTAAAAGGGAACTGAGGGACAACGTTTTCACACAGAAGATGGTGCATATACGGCACGAGCTGCAAGAGGAAATGGTAGAGGTGGGTACAATTACAACATTTAAGACATTTTGACAGGTACATGGATAGGAAAGGTTTAGGGGGATATGGGCTAAATGTAGGCAAGTGGGATTAGTTCAATTTGGAAAACCTGATTGGCATGGGTGAATTGGACTGAAGGGCCTGTTTCTGTGCTATATGACTCTCACAGCAAACAGCATTGCTGACAAGACAATGGGCTACACTAGAACAGCTATTGTGCAAAACAAGATTCGATTAATTAATGGCCTCACAATGAAGGTGACTCTCAGTCATGGTGATTATAATATGATTGAATATTTACGTTCGCTTGAGAGAGTGGGAAGAGGGTCCGAGACTAGTGGTTTCAACTTAAATAAGGGCAATTGTGAGGACACGAAAACAGAACTGGCTAAAATGAATTGGCAAATTAGGTTAAGTGATCAGTCAATAGTGATGCAGCAGCAGGCATTTAAGGAGATATTTCAGGATACACTGAATTATTACATTCCAACGAGAAAGTAAATATTCCAAGGGAGGACTCACTATCTATTTAACTAAAAACGATAAAGAGAATAAAAACCGAAAGAACTGTGGATGCTGTAAATCAGAAACCACAAGTTGCTGGAAAAGCTCAGCAAATCTGGCAGCATCTGTGAAGAGAAATCAGAGTTAACGTTTCAGGTCTGGTGACCTTCCTCAGAACGGATGGTAGCTAGGAAAACGTTGGTTTTCATGCAGAAGCAGTCACCCAGTCGCTCCTCACAACCTGGTCTCCTCGAAATTGGGAAAACAAATTGAAGACTGAGCGACCGCTTCGCAGAACATCTACGTTCTGCCCGCAAAAATGATCTGCGCTTCCAGTCGACTGCCACTTCAACAAACCACCATGCTCCCTGGCCAGCCCATCTCTGTCTCAGGCTTGCTGCAGTGCTCCAGCAAAGCTCAGCGTAAACTGGTAGAACAACACCTCGGTGTCCACTTGGGGTCCCTGCAGCCTTCTGGACTTAATATCAATTTCAATAACTTCAGAGCTTAAACTCTCCTGCATCCTAGCTAACCCCCACCACCCTACCCCTCCCCCAATACGCACACACACGCACACAAACATCCGTGCACACCAAGCCTTGTTATCCCATACAACAAGGTGCAGGGCTGGGTGAACACAGCAGGCCAAGCAGCATCATAGGAGCAGAGAGGCTGACGTTTCGGGCCTAGACCCTTCATCAGAAAAGCTTTTCTGATGAAGGGTCT